GGAAAACTCAGTAGTGCAGCTTTGTCAGCAGCTTTCCAGACTTCTGAGAACAACTGTGCAGAGAACCACATATTCCACACCCAATGAAAATAAACCGAAACAGAGATCTCGCACAGGTGTTTGACAGTAGTGGGACACAGACGGAGTTTTTAGGTGGGAAATAATTCCAGGTACATAAATGATATATGAGTACGTTTGAGAAAGCTCTATGAATTTCAATGATAAGGCATGTGCAGTTTACTGTCTACCTCTTTGTATGACTAAGTGCTAACATCTCCCTAGCTGCTCAGCCTAAAATGAGGCACTGTATTTTTTATCTTCCTTGTTTTGAGCCACTCTCAGAGACGCTGAAAATAAAATATTTATCAAGTAGCACTTTTACTAAGGAAAACTTTTATTTCAACTGTGCAATCAATCAGTATTTAGACAGCAGTTTCATAAACATTTGGCATTTAAACTTCTATTACTTTTTGGCATGACCTTGCGGTAGTATATAAACAACCCTGGAGGGGAAAAATGAACCAACACACTAGGTAACATTTACTAGAATGCTAGAAAAAGAAAAACAAATCCACATTATTAAACAAAATAGTTTTAAAAGACATTAAAAAGTTACATTCAAATCAGGGCAAACATTAGCTTTTCTCATGCAATGGAATTCACAGAGCTGATCCCCTGAGACAAATATAAAATTAATATAATTCAGCTCCATTCTCCATTAGCCAGTCAGCTGCTGCTGCCCTTAGACGAAAATGGCACATGGAGTGAAAGGATCCAGAACACCACAATATGAGATACATACCTGGCTCCTACACTGGCAATTCATTCACAACTTAAAAAAACCCCAAAAGCCAAACAATCAAAAAGCAATATTTGTATAAGTCAGTTTTTCATATACAGTCAGTCTTTACTGAAAACACACCAGGCAGATGCAATGTGGGTATATGCAACCACGGAAAGCCGAAAATTTCCAGGAGCACAGCTCGCAAGGTAGCCAGAGGGCCCAACACAGCAAAACCTTAAGCATGCGTTTACATCCCTTTTGAGTCAGTTAGCACCAGTCTCAGTGTAAATCTAGAAGAATTCCGAAGAAATAAACTTACTTGCATTTGAGACAAATTGAGTTTGTGTTCTTTTCATACAGGCCTCCACTAACAGAAAGTGATTTGGTTTTTGGACTTGTGTCAAAGAACAGTATTTTTTGAAACACATGTTCCAAAATATACAGTTACATAAATAACATATTTTTGACTTACGTTATTATAGAAAGGCACTCTATTTCCTGCAGACAATCAAACTCCTCCGCTTTAGAAATTGCTTGCTATTAGCAGAACTGCAGCAACTAATAAGCGTGTAACAATTGATCAAGCTAAGAACTACCTCTTTAGCAATTACTAGGTGTAATTCTGCTTTCAATTTCACCAGAATAACCTCATTAAATTGATTTCTGTGAAATAGCACCAGAGTTAGACCTGTGCAGCGCTCTCTTCCATTGGTGTGAATGAAATTTTTGGCTAAACATGGAGTGCCCTACAAAACCTACCAACATTCCCCATGTTAGGAGATGGACTTTTCCGTGCATGAACTTCATTCTGTAACGAATAAAATGAGCAAGGGCTCCTGGTCTTAGGGCTTACAAGTTTGCTCCGAGTAACATGTAACTGAGACCCAGCAGTCCATGGTAACTATTCTTGCGTACGCTCAGGTTACAGCACATGGTATAAGTCATTCAAGTTGACTCAGTTTGCAATGAAAAAGAGGTAAACTGACTTGAAATACTCAGTATTTACTACCAACTAAGACTGGATGCATGGAGAGTGACAGCGGACCTCTGACGCGTGGTAACTTATCTTAGAAAAATCCATTTGCCAATGGGAGTTTTAACCACGTAAGAATTCTGTCCTTTAAAAATAATAATACTGTGAAGATTTAAAACACAAACAAAAAAAAAGAGCTGATTTTGTCTGTCCAGACCATGCAAACCAAAATCAAAATTAATTCTCCCATTAACTTAAACAAGATAAAGACCCTGATTTGAATAAGGCAAACAAGATTTAGCTCATAGTCTAAAGCAAGGGAATAAAACCAAAGAGGGAATGAACTATGAAAAATAATTTAAAATAGGTAAAGAAAACTCTTGATACACTTTTCTGTTAAAATCTCATAAGTTATACAGAAAATGCACAGCTAATATAGGAAATTATTAAAAGTATATGTAGATTTT